GTTTCCATGATAATGGAACTCAGTTCATCAGGTTAACATCAAGACTTAACAAACCACATGGGGCAGTGTTCTGCAGCAAGGAGGTAACAGACAGGGTACCAAGCACAGAAAATCAAGGTGGGAGGGGGGCAGTGAGAGGGCAGAGGAAAGGCTAGGATTCTGAAAGGACAACATGGAGAATGGACTTAAAAGAGATCAGTGTGGACAGTCTCATTCCGTGTCACCTCTCTGCACAAGGGTGTCTCCCTGGCACCTCACGTAGTCCTGAGGGAGAGAGGTACTGCAGTCATCAGTCTCCGCCCCAGAGAGTACATCTTCTTAGACACAGCACTATCTTTGCATGAAATTTTGATGGACACATGGCTACAATCTGCTGCTGGCAGACCACATTTGTGCAGTTTCTAGCAGTTCAGGTAAGATAATGGACAACCAAAGGGCCTGACAACCAGCAAGGCAAGGAGCCACTGTTGCAGGGAATGTTCCCTCTTTACAGATGAGGGTAATACTCATGACACTAATACTCATGACTACCCAAAAGAGAAGGAAATTTATGCCCATTAAATGTCCTCCACTTCCTTTCTGCTCAGGTCTCTTTCTATCCCACAAAGACACCCTTCACTCATTCCTCACAGTTCACAGCACCTTAGCCTTTAGAACTCAACTTCAGAGCATTTGTCAGTTGAGTATATATTGAACTCCTGCAGCACTGGGAGAGAGAGATAGGAAGACTGGCTGGAAAACTAGAGACACTTAGCAAAGACCAAGTTTGAGGCCAGCCTGGGCAATGCAGCAAGATTCTTTCTCTCAATGCAAAGGACTGGGGTATAACTTAATGGTACAGTCCTTGCTTGGCATGCACAAGGCCTTCAGTTCAATTTCTAGCAGCAAAGTCAGGCAAACCAACTCACTCTCTTGAAGTTCTGCAGGCAGGAGATCTCAAACAGGTTGTATGGGTGAGATTGAGGGTTCTGGCAGAACTGTGTTCCATTCGGATGCTCCAGAGAGCATCTGTTTGCCTTTTCCAGCTTCTAGAGGTGGTATGCATGCTTCAGATCATGACATAACATACCAAGGCCCTGTCCTTAGGTCTCCTGTCTCCTATTTGGCCCTCTTTCTTCCTTTGCTGAGGATTGTGGTGATTACATTGAGTGTAACCAGGTAACTCACAGTAATCTCCCCATTTCCAGAGTTTAATAAACATAACTGCAATGACCCTACTGGGTATATATTCCAAAGGAGAAGAAATCAGTATGTCTAAGAGACATCTACACTCCCATGTTTACTGCACACTACTGCATTGGCTGTGATATGGAATAAATCTAGGTGTCTATTGTGAAATAAATGGATAAAGAAAAACATGGTATTATACAGTGGATTATTAGTCATAAAAAAAGGATGAAATCCTGTTATCAGAGCAACAGGGACAGATCTGGAGGACACTAGCTTCTTTTTTATATATATATATTTTAGGATAGGGTCTACAGGGTCTCACTGCACAGATCGGATTCGTAGTAACTCTATTTATAGCCTCCAAAGTGATGGAATTACAGGCACAGGTCACCATGCCCAGTTTCAAACACCATCTCAGCATGCCTTGGGGTGGGGCTGGCATGGCAGGCCTGGAAATCGAACTTCTGGCCTCTGCATTTGCCTAAGCAGGCATTTTAATCCACTGAGCTATTTGGCCAGCCCACCAGCTTCTAAAATAAATCAGGCATAGAAAGGAAAATGTTAACAGTCCTCACTTAAAGTGGCATATGATTTGAAATTACTTTTACCAAAGTTGAGAGTAGAAGAGTGTTAACAGAAGTCTGGGCATGGTGGAGCAGAGAAAGGATGCTATGGTGCAATGTCAACTGTTGGTCAACTTGTTACACCCAGTTGGACTGAACCAGCATGGTGCTGGGTGTGGGAGGCCCACTTGAGGATCATTGCCAGCAGCGTAAGAGGCAGAACTAGAGAAGCTGTTGAGGGACTGTTAGGGATGCTGTTTGGAGAAGCTGTTGTAAGCTGCTGGTCCTTTTGGGCTGTTCTGCTGGGGGACCTTGTCATGCTGGCTTTCCTGGTGAACTTAGTTGTTCTTATCAGAGGAGCTCAGGACCTCACTGTTGCTGAGAATGCCTACAGCTGACCTTGAGGGAGCTCTGGACCTCACCTTGAGAACTGCTTGTTGGCTCTGGAGCAGAAGATGGTGCACAGCTCAGTCTCCAGAGAAGCTTGGCACATGGGCTTTCCTGATGGGAACTCAGCTTTCCTCATCGCCGGAGGAGCTCAGGACCTCTCTATTGCCAAGGATGGCTGTGGTACTTTGGGGGAGCTCTGGTGCTTACTTTTAGCATTCCTTGCTTCCTGGCTCCAGTGTAGATCCCTCAACCTGCTAGCACGGATCCTTTATCCTGCTGGTATAGACTTTCTAGCTTCCACCACTAACCTTTGGTCCTTCCCTGTGCAGATCCCTGAAGCAGGCCTGCATGAGACTTTGTTGTGGGCTCTAGGCCTCCAGTAGGACTTTGTAGGAGGCGCTATTATAGGCTTTAGGTTTTCAGGTGGATTCATGGAGGATATGAGTTGTAATCTTTGGTCTTTAGTGTGTGGTCAGATTTCCTGCACTGTCTGTATAGGATTCTTTGGGTGATTCATTATAAAATAATCTTATGAAATGCACCCTATATTGTATTGTCCTCCTTACAAAAACCTGAAATCAGGACAGCTGGTTAACAGGACAGGAGGAATAACTTCTAATGCTCTATAACACAGTAGGACAACTGCGGCTGATAGTAATTTATATTTCAAAATAGCTAGTGGAGAAGACTTTGAATGTTCCCATCACAAGGAAATGATAAGTATTTGAGGTGAAAATATACCAATTATCCTGATCTCATCAATATACTGTACACATGTATTGAAATATCACCTCATACCCCATAAATATACATAATTATTATATACTAAGCAATGTCTATAGTTTTTAAAAAATGAAAAAATGTTATCTGCAAAGTGCTTTTTATGTGAAAGGTAATACAGACATGTTTTAGAATTAGGATGTGAACATTGTTCAGAACCTACCACTCTGCCTGGTACAGCCAGTCCCATTGCTGCCATTTGCACATAAGTAGCTAATTTAATAATTGTTTCAGTGTTCCTGGCTCACAACCAGGGACAACTGATTAAGTTAGTAGACATAAAACCACTGGATTCATAATAAGTAGACAGTGAAATAAAGGGAAATGGAGGTAACAGAAAGAAAACACCTGGATCTTCCCATGTACAGTGTATGCCAGTAGATGGCAAGACAGAAAAGCTGAGGGCTTATTAGGTATTTCAAGAAGCCTTGGAGATAAGTTCAGTTCTTCACTTGTGAAATGAATATTACTTGCATGAAAACCCCGACAAGGTAGGGGATTCTAATCTAGCTCACATTCTCATCTGTTTCCATGGGGCCATCATGAAAAGCTCTGCTACTTGATCTGCTGAAATGCAGATGCGACATGACCAGTTAAAATCTCTATCAAAGTGTACATAAAAAGAGAAGTGTTGCATCCAGAGAAGAGTTTAAAGAGCAACTAGAAGGGATCAAATATGACAAGCTCAGGAGTCCATCAAGTTAAATAAAAGGGACCTCCAGAAACAGGCTCCCTAGAATAATGCTATCTTGATAATTCGTTTAGAATAAAATATACTTTGCAGTGTAGAGTAAAAATTCTTTGTGAGATATTTTTCTTCCTCTCCCTCCAAAGAAAAATCATTTATTTTGAAAATCTGAGACTACAAGGCATCAGGATTCCTTTCATTAAGGCAACTTGATGTTCTTTAAAATACTAAGATATTAAACTTTAGGATCATACTCAGAAATGAAGTTTTCAAAACATTTAGGGACACAAACATTATGTCATATGTTGTGTGTGTGTGTGTGTGTGTGTGTGTGTGTGTGTGTGTGTGTTACTGGGGTTGAACACAATGACTTTGCATTGGGCTACATCCCTGTCCTTTAAAAAATTTTTATTTATTTATTTTTTTTTAAAGAAATTAGGGATTCACTAAGTTACCTACATTGGGCTTGAACTTGTTATCTTCCTGTCTCAGCTTCCTAAGTGCTGGGATTAATGGCACATTCTTTATTCCACATCTAATCCAAATAGTCACTTTGCTTTGGTTTAAAGACCTAGAGCGTAACTGTATTCATAAGCAAATCTAACATGGCAATGTCAGCACAGCAGTCTCTACCTTGGTGATGTCCTTCAGTGGGCTCAGAACAATGATGTGCCCTCTGGGTTCAGGCAGGAAGTATATGTACATGGTGGCCTCCCAAAATTTGCGGTAAGCAGACTATGATCCTTTTATATTGGCATGCATGTAGAGACATTACTTTTACTCTGGGGTCCCAAGACATAAGTCGAGCAAGTGAAGGATTCAATACCACCAGTTTGACTTGCAAACCCAACCCAATAGACACTATTGCTATATGAGGATTTTTTTCCAAGTGCTTCTTATAATAAAGATAAAAAGAATAGATATTTCATCTCAGCTTTATTACTTTTCATAAACATTTTCTAAAAAGTATGGAATTGATAGATAAGCACCAAAAGATGTTTTAAACTTAAGTGACCCTTTAAACACAGACTAGCTCAGCAAGGATTTAAAATATTATTGGAATTACTTAAGATGAATGAAAATTAATGTACGAAAAATTAGTGCAAGAGAAAAAAATTTGACCTTGCACTCAAGAGTCTAAGGTCTCCTTTCATTTATTTACTTTAGGTCATTTCATTATTAAATCCTATATACAGTGGACCCCTGAGTTATGACCAAGGTATTAACATTTAACTGATGAAACTAGTCTTGAGTTTAGAGAGCTGAATGCTGGCCACTCAAGCAGTTGTACTCAAAGGCTCACAATGCCAGAAAAGCTTAAGTAAATGCACATAGCCATCAGTCTGAGCCTACATTTTTGACATTCTTATAGAAGGGAACTCTCCTTCTAAACGACAGCCACCTTTCACGCTCGCTTTGGCAACACATACACTAAAACTGGAATGACATAAAGAAGATCAGCATGGCCCCTGTGTAAGAATAGCATGCAAATTTGTGAGGCATTCCATAGTAAAACAAACAAACAAACAAGCAAGCAAGCAAACTACCTTCTACTTCATCCTCTCTTCTTACAAGCCAAAGATATCAACTTGCACGGTGAGTACAGTTTGAAATTATTGTTTCTGATAAATAAGGCATATTTTATAACTTTTGGGAAATACACTATGAAGATTATTGGTGCTTATGATAAATCACATACATTATGCAACCCTTTTTATTATGAAAAAGTTAAGGCATTCTTGGGAGGTCTGAAACACATGGGTATTTCCACAGTCTTGACTTAACCTACTTGAGTTACAACCAGCCCTCATGAATGCATTAAGTTCCTAAGTCAAGGATCTACTGTGCATAAATAATATTATCAAAAAGCTAAGAAAAATAAGATTTAGGTTATCTTGATCATGCAAATATAATGCCTAATTTATTTTCATTATAAACTTAAGAATGTTGTATTCTTTTTCAGTATGCAAGGATTTATCTCTTTCTTGCCTTACACAAATGTAAGATCTGACTGACTAGTTCTTTATCCATTTAATGATTTACATAATCAAGAAATATATACAATTTAGTTCATTTATCAGAGCTCTTCTAAATACTGAAATTTATATTAATGTTAGTACTTACATGAAAATAAGTTACACAGAAAAGGAAAAGTACATTGCAATTTTGTTTTATGACACTTATGAGAGAATAACATGTTTTGAGACTTGTTTTCAGCAGAAATAAAATGCAATCAAGAAAACAGTATATCTTCACTAAAAGTCATTCTAAAAGAATAGAAAAACATTACTTAAAAGAAACTGGTATTTTTGTCTTTGAAAAATACATTAGATTCTACTGTCACTGCTGGTTTTTCTTTTCAAGGAAATGAGAAATAAACCAGATAAGAAATAGTACTTATCTAGTTTGCAATAGTGTTGTATTTTGAGAATGTGAGTTGTATAAACACTTTGATAAACTAGCTGAGACCAGTAATGTAAACAGCTATCACTTCTTGGTGACTTTAGGAGGAGCACAGAAGATTCAATGTATATCAGATATCTTTTCTTGGACTGCAGATCTCTCAGGTTGCATTATTAATGTTTAATTATTTTATTTATTTATCTGAACTTTCTAGTAACAAAATTCCATCAAAGGTTTTAAACTAGAAGATAATTCCAGAAATGCAGAGAGGAATGTTGTGGATGGGATGATAACCCCTTAAAAATTATACTGAAGTTCTAATCCCCAGTACTCAAAATATGACCTTATTTAGATACAGGGCTATGGCAGACATAAGTTAAAATGAGGAGTAAGGTGTTGGTCCTTGGAAGAAGACAGCCATGTGAAGACACAGACACATAGGACACCTGTGACAGTGAAGGCAGAGGCTAGAGTTAGGCAACTGCATGCTAAGGACACCAAAGGCTGCCAGCAAATCTCCAGGACCAGGGAGAAGGTGAGGAATGATTCCTCTTACAGGTACCTCTAACCTTCAGAAGTCTGAGAAAATAATTAGCTTGTTCTAAATCCCTTACTCTGTGGTATACTGTTATACCAACTCTACAAAACTAATACAAAGAGGTTTAATGAAGAGATAGCTGGGTGAGAAAGGGAAAAAATGTAGGAGAATCAAAGTATTGCCTCTTGAGAATAGAGCAGTGGAACTGAGAATGAAAAAATAAACAGCTTCACAAGAAAGGCTATGACACTGTGGGAGCTACGGCTACTGTATCAGACAAGAGTACAGTGGAAAATTGGTAACTCTTCTAACATGTGGTAAATAATAATAAATGAGTCTGCTCTTAGAAAATGACAAAACAAGCCACAGACTGTGAAAAAAAATTCAAAACACATATCTAATACAGAAGTGTTATTCAAAATGTATGAAGAACTCTTAAAACTCAACAACAAAAAACCTTCAGCATTGTCAAAAAATAGGCCAAAGAACTGGACACCTTACCAAAGAAAATACATGCAGAAAATAGGTACAGGAAAAGATGCTTAACAGCATCTGTTATTAGAGAAATGTAAATTGAAACTACAATAAGCTGGAGATAGACCTCGGTGGTAGAGCTGGTACTTAGCATGCACCAGACGCTGAGTTAGATTATGATAGCAGTGTGTACACACACACGCATGCGCACATACACACTAAAAAACAAAATGAAACAAAAAGGAAACTACTGATGATTTGTAAGGAAATGACTGTTACCCTGTATTACAATGACCAGACTCCAAAACACTTAACACTGAATGCTGAAAAGGAAGTAAAGTAACAGCAACTCTCATTCATTGCTAGTAGGGATATAAAATGGTACAGCTACTTTGGAAGATAGTGTAACACTTTCTTACAAAACTAATGTTATGAATTGTGTCTAATATCCTACCAAAGCCTCAGCCAGGAGATGACCCGGGGCCCGCGGGATCCTGAAGAGACCCAGAACGCAGACCCGGTGAGTTGAGTGAGACAACCAAGCCCGCGGATCCTGAATAGACCCAGAGCCCAGGTCCAACATGTGAGTGAGACCACCCAGGGCCCACGGATCTTCATTCGACCCAGAGTGCAGGCCCAGCGAGGAACCTTTCAGCAGAACTCCCTGCAAAGAGACTAGAGGCAAGATCCACCCAGCTGATTCAGGAGCAGAACATCTTGCCAGAGAGACACAAAGGGTTCAACT